CTGTACTCAATAGTGCAATACTAGGTAAGACTTGGTGGGTTCTGCACTTTCAGGGAAGCAGGGTAGCACACTGCTGCTCACTGTACGCTGTTTGCTGGGTCTAGCATTGAGGTGGCTGAGTGATGAACAAAGCTTACTGCTATTGAATGCCCTGTGAGCAGAAGGGAGTTTGGGGGTGCGTAGATGCACTGCTCACTCGTTTTTATTAGTTCAAAGCAAAAGTGGCTTGCTCAGTAATAGAGCTGTGCAGAGAATTTTAAAGTGTGCCTGTGTTGTTCCTGCTGTTTTGCCATGAGAGTAAGCTTTGGAAGGAAGGATGTGGATTTTGAGTTTTCTAGTACAAGAAAACAATGAAACCAAGTGAGATGTTTTAACTGCTGCTGTTAATCTTCCAGAGACTCACAATCTGCCAAAGCAACCACCGCTTGCCCTGGCAATGGGACAAGCATCACAGTGTCTGGGATTGATGGCTCGATCGGGAATTGGATCCTGTGCTTTTGCCACAGTGGAAGACTACCTACACTAGCTATGCATTTGAAGATCTGTGAAATGGTGTGGTGTATTCACTATGGAAAGTAGACCAGCTCTGCTGACTGGAATTTGGAATTTTAATTATGTACTAAGGACAAGTCTGTCGCTTTATGTTGCTTCCTAGTTTACAGCATGATGCAAACGATTTCTAACTTAGTGTTAGAGAATTTCCATCTTTAAACCTCTTAGACAACTAAGAGTGGAAAATATCACCGATAATGTCAGACATCCAAATTGACAAATACAAATCCTCTCAACGATTGTCTAAAACAAACCAAAAATCCTGCTGCCTTGTGGTGGGACAGAAGAGCAGAAACGTGGACGTATCAGCACATGGGTGATGTATGTGTCAAGCAGGATGACTTGCCAATGGCCACCCCCATTGTTACATAGTTCAATCAATGTAATTTGCAAAATGCATAAACACCTGATGGTTTGGATATAGTGTTGATGGGAAGAAATGATATTTTTTAATGTGTACTGTAAAACTTGAATTACTCAGGAGCTGAGTGAATATGTTTGTTGCTACTTACAATCCCAACCTGTTGATCTTAGTAGTTTTTGTTTTAACATGGTCTTTTCAACTTTGTTTCCTTGTTTAACTACAGACAGCTTCTGTTGTGTAGACTCACCAGTTTAACTGTTGTATTATAACAGTATTACATGTCAACACAGTGTGGTTATGACCTATTTATATAAAAACCAAATATTTAGTCAATTTACAGTCTTAATTTAATCTTTGTACACCTTGCATTTTTAAAAGTGCTTAAATAGTACTATATTGCAATAAAATGTAGTGATACCATAATTAACCAGTCATTAAAAACTTACTTCTACATACGTGGTAGCATGGGCTTGTATGCTACATTTTCTTTGTTCTAGTTTTATCCTAGAACGGTGCTTCACTGCTGGACCCTACGATACCACCTCCCTTGTCAGAGCTGCTGAAAATTAAAGGGTGTGTTCTTACCATGAGCTAGCACTGCTAAGTCAAGGCAGCAAGTTGAACACTCCCTGAAGGTAGGGGGAAAAGAAAGAATAAATTACACTCCTCGAAAGTAATCAAGCCTGGCTAGAAGCGGCCCTGCTGTGTGAAGTGATGTAAGGACTCTAATACTAGCCTACAGCCTCTCCCAGGTGATGTGGGTACCGAAAAGGCAGGAATAATAGATGGTTTTAGGAAGCACAGCATCCACAAGAGTAAGTATGAAATCATTCATCTTTATTCTTTGCAGTTGAGCTGCCTCGTGGAACAAAGTCCAGCTCTGTGAGAGGAGCTTATAAGAGCCCCTGGAGGATATGCCATCATGACTGTGACCAGCAGTGTGTCAGCTTCCCTAACAACTTCTGCCAGGGGAGGTAAGAATGCAGAGGGCAACCAGGACTGTTTTGTGAAACTGTCCATTGCCTGAAGCTGAAAGAGAGGAGTAATGGTGGAGAAGGGGGTGGAGGGTATATGGCACCTGTTCACCTGTTACGTGTAAGTGAGGAGAAATTAACTCTCAGTACATGTCCACTGATTGCATCTTCTGAAAAAGCTGTCTTCAAAGTGTACTTGTCACCTTTCTTGCCACCCAGTATTTTGTGAACTTTGTTGCTCTTTGCTTTTTTTCTAGCCCTTAAACAAAACAAAACCAGTAAGCCTATAAGCATGTTCTTAGCTCAGCTGTGTGACTAGCAGCAATTCATTCCATTACTGCAGCATTTCAAGCTTGGGCAGAAGCACAAAAGGGAAAGCTGGTAACTTCCTCTTAGTCATGTTTCATAGAGAACAGAAGGCTTCCACTGGCACATGCTGGTGCCACTGGCCAGCCTCCTGCAGGATGGGGTGCAGTAGTGCTTTCACTTTTAAAGCACAAGTGGAAAAAGCAAATTGATATCTACTCTTTTTTGACCATAGAATCAAGCTAGTTTAGAAGGGGGCGAGGTTTCCATCCACGAGCTCAGGCTGCCCAGGATCCCATCCAACCTGGCCTTGAACATGTCCAGAGATGGGCAGCCACAGGTTTGAGCAGCCTGTGCCAGTGCCTCACCACAGCGAGCAAATAATTATTTAGTCTAAACTTAACCTTTTCTTAGGACAAGGGAGAATGGCTTTTAACTATCACTACAATGGGATACCAGACCTATGATCCACACAGAATCATTCTGTGGCTGAGCGGCAGCGTACGGCTAGAACTGATGTTAAGTCTGTTTTTGTTCATTTTTTAACATCACTTTTTAACAGAGCAAAGGTACAACTTCCCTCTGCTTTAAGATCTTACAAAGATCAGAAGTGACTTTGGCAGCTCAGGCCATAAGCCTTATAATGGTTAGTTTAGGCAGTGAACACAGCTCTGGACCAAGATACTGTTTGTAACTGTATAAAAAATGAGCTAACAAGTCATTCCATATTCTCCCCAGCAAGTATTCACTATGCATCCTGCTCTGCTCCCTTGCTACATGTTCTTCCCCTGAGTAAAATACAAACTAAAGCCCTGTAACATATAGAAAAGCATTAGAATTGAAAAAAGAACCCTAAAATTAAACACTAATTTAGGCATATAAGCATGGAGTAGCGGCAACTGCATTTTTTTTTCTCTTACTTACCCCAAGATTTGTCCACAAACTGAACTGCAGCTTTTTTAACTGAGTCTTTCTTGTTTGCAATGGAAAAAAATTCATTTGCTGTAATGAGATGAATATTAATTATGAAGATTGATACAGACAAATCCAGATGCAGATCTAAGGAAAACTGCCTACCACTTGTGCGGTTGGTGCCGGGGCCGTAGAGCTGACTGTGTATGAAGTCTTTTGCTGTTTGTTGGTGGAGGCCTGTTAAGTTCTCATCTTTCAAGTGCACAGCAATATAGTTTCCTTTTGACCTAGTTAGAAATGTAAATCCATGGCAAAGGTACAGAACACAACACAATGTGTGTAGTTAATATTTTGATACTTGAGCTGTCAGTACTGGTTTGATGATCAGCCAAGAGCTGAAGCAGCTTGCTTCAGCAAGCTTGTAGTCGGAGTCACAAACTCCTCTTAGATGAGACTAGTGCTACTTTCCCATACGCAATCATTGTGATGAGGGCAGAAGCACAGTGAAGAAGACTTAAGTCACACACACTTGTTTCAATTAGAGCAAGAGCAGGGCTAGCATCAAGTGAAAAACAGATCCTGGAGATCCAGCTGCAGGCTGCCTCCCTCAACCTCAGGCTGGAGGAAACAGCGCTGCAGCGCTGAACTGATGCCCCGCATCTGCTCCTGCTGTACCTGGTGCCTCCTGCTTTGCCTTTCTTGACCTGTCCTGGGATGCGGTCTTCGCTCTGTTTTGCAGACCCCCCTTCAGGGCGTTTATCTAAGGAAAATTCAACAGAAGAAAAATATCCCAAAAACACAATCTAGAACTGTAAGTAAGAGGAACAGAAATGAAGCAACACAAGCTGTGAACGAGCATCCATCTTTTAAGTCCAGAAGGCACTTTCTAGCTGCTCTGATTGGTAAAAACTAGCAGTGCTGCTCTCCAGGGAGGGCTGTTGAAGAGGAAGGCTAAATCTTAGGGGAGCCCTCCAAAAAGTAACAGTGCTTTGCTGTTCCTTGCCATCAGGCCCAAATCGATGGGATTCAACACAGGACAAAAAATCAGTGCAATAGAACAGCCGTGCACTGCTGGAAATGGGGGGGTACCGTCCCACCTGTATTCTCTGCTAACTGAGCTATGGAAATGAAGCCTTCCGAGTACCTGGTGCAGCTGCGGGGCTCGGCTCTTCTGCTCTGCGAGGGAAGGGAAAAGCACGTTGCAGCCACAGCCCGGCTTTGCACAGCCAAGGGCCCCCAAAAAGCCACCGGTGGCCCCCTGCCTTCCATCCTCACCGAGCAAGCGGCGCGGCGGCCAGCTCCTGCAGCAGGGCCTCGGGCAGCAGCTTCCTTCTCTACGGAGAAACGGCGGTGAGGTCGCGGGGCCCGGCCTCTGCCGGGCATCGCGGAGGGCTGCGGGGCGACCGCGGTACCTTCTGCTCCGTGAACAGCTCCTGCCGCCGCCGCCGCTTCTCCTTCAGCAGCTCCCGGTGCCTGCGGGGGGGAGGGGGAGGAAGGGGGCGGGAGCCGCCGTGAGCGCAGCGCCGGGTGAGAGGGGGAGCGGAAAGGGGAGAGGGGACGCCGTACCTCCGAGCCGCCTCCCCCACCAGCTTCCTCTCGGCCTCGGCCTCCGCTCTCGCCGTGCCGAACGACAGCTCCTCGGGGGCCTCGTCATCCTCGGACGAGAGCGGCGCGGCGGCCGGGCCCGCGGGGACCGCCGCCTCCTCCTGCCGCCTCACCATGGCCACGCTCCTCAACCGGCCTCAGCGCGACCCGGAAGCGCTCCGCTAACTTCCGGAACCCGCCCGCCAACTTCCGGAAACGCTCCGCCGGCTTCCGGCCTCGCCCCCTAATCGCCCAGCTGTTCGCGACCACCGCCCCCAGTCCTGGCAGTCAGACGCGGACACGGGAGCGGCCGGCTGCAGGCTTTATTGGCGCGATCGGGGCCCGCCGCCTCGCCCCGCCCCCGCCCCGCTTCAGGCGATGATCTCGGACTCGTGCCGGGCCAGCGCAGGCGGCAGCGTGGTCCCGCAGGGGCCCTGGAAGTGGAACCTGGAAGGAGAGACCGTGTGAAGGGCGGGGAGAGGAAGGGGAAGAAATGGAGGGGGAGGTTCGCTTTTCTCTAGGCAGCGCAACCGCTCAGAACAGGACGGTGAAGATGGAGGGGTCAGACTGCAGAGCGGCCTTACCTGAACCTGTCTGTAGCAGGAGTGGCTTCCATGTTGAATTCCGCCACCGGCACTCCTCTGGAGGACACCTGAGGGGCGAACATGGCAGCAGGGTACACCACGGAGGAGGTTCCCACCTGCAAAGCCAGCAGCATAGGGTAAAGCAGGTAAAGACCTGACGGAAAGGAAAATACATCCAGAGCTGCGTTTTGTGTCGCTGTGGAGGGAGGGGGCATGCATCAGAATTTTGTCTGCTGCAATCTAAAGAAGCCTGTTTGCATTTCTGGGATCTTTTTTGGTTTTGTTTTTGTTTACATTTTTGTGGTTATAAACGACAAAATACAGGAGAAGAAGACAAAACATCCAATTGTATCGGTCAGTGATGCAGAACATACATGGCAAGCAAATAAATAACCCCACAGAAACAGCTCCTGACGATGCCGACCCGCCATCCCACAAAGCAACACAAACGTCCTCACCACCAAGCAGAGGTCGCATAGTTCGAGTTCCTTCTCCACCTCTGTGAGAACATCTGGATCCAGGGCTTCACCAAACCACACAACGTGGGGACGAAGAAGGCCGTAACAGCCATCTTCCTCACACCTATTGAAAAATTGCAGAGGGACAACGTTGTATTTCTGACATGAACACCTCCACCTGCACAGTGCCACAGCAGCTCTCATTTAGGATTGGACACGGCTTCCTTCTTTCTTTCACTGCTCACATTCACAGCGCTCCTCCTGCTCTCCTGAGCACAGGTTGTTGAACAGTCATTCAATTCAGAATCTTAACTGCTGTGTCTTAATTCCTGAAATGCATCCAAGAACTTGATATGTGCTATGATTTTCACTGACTTCAACAGACACAGTCTAGCAGGTTTTTAAGAAGAAAGTGGCCGGGGCAGAAGCATCACAGCAGCCCCACAGCAGCCTCATTTCCTTAGGAACAAGATAAAAAAAAGCAGTAGCTCCTTGTACCTGCAGCTAGCCAAGCTAAAGCTTTAGCCACTACAAAAAGCACCCTGGCTTATTTAGAGCCTGCAGGAAACTTCTCCATGGCTGCACACCAGCACCCTATCACATGCTGACCAACAGTAGAAAAGCAGAGCAGTAGAAAAGTAACAGCTTACTGTGCAGTAGTTTCATAATGCAATTCTACTGCTCACTACCAAACCCACAAACTGTAGCATGTTTTGAGTTTGATGCTCAAGTACACAAACATGCAGTTCCTTTAGCACTGTGATAAACTTGTACACGCTCCTACTGTCTGGTGCCTCCCAAGCACTAAGTTTAGATATGAACTCTGTTCCCAGGTGTTCTTCCTGTTGAATGTGTATGTGTCCTTCCAAAACTACAGGAACAGTCATGAAAGAATTGAGATAGATGAAATGCTAAAAAGCTAGCAGCAAAAAAAAAGAAGTGGATACGTACTGAGGAAGTTCTTCAACTGGAATTGTGGCATCTTCTGTTTCCGGATCTGGAGCCCTGAATTTACAAAATTGAAACACATATTCAAACATACAGATGAAGTGCATTTTACAGATGGCCAAAAACTTCGTATTTTCTCCAGTCAAGAATCTTTCCAACTTCAGTCAACTCTACTAAAGCCCCCCCCTTAGCACACACAGGGCAGGCAGGCTTCTATACAGTATTATGCCAGAGCTAAGCAACAGCAATTAGCTTGTCAAAGTCCAACAAAGACACAATGAGTATTTACGAAGCTATATAAAGATCTGGGATTAAAACTTTTAAGTATTAAGCACATGCCTGTCCTCCCCTTTTTTTTTTCTTCCTTCAACAATGCAAGGAAATAAAAAGAAAGATAACTAGAATGAGGCCAAAGGGCTCTTCTGCAACTTGAAAAGAAATCCTGAAAACTGATTTTCCTGCATTTCAAGACTTGTAATGAGAGTCTCACTGATGAGTTGAAGCACAAGAGCAACGTGGTGCTCATGAGATTCAGAACAGAAGAACCCAAGACCTGAATATTATGAAAGAAAAATGAGGTGCTTGGCTAGAACTGCTGTGTGCTCCTGTAACAGCTCCTTTCCTACTGAAGAGCAGACTGAGCAGAACATACTGGGAGTTTGCAAGGAGATGGATTTACCCTTTCCCAGCCAACGCCGGGCAGATCGGACTCTTGTAATTCGCAGTCACATTTCCACAGTTGGTGCATCGAGTTTTAAATAAGCTTCCTGGAAAGCAGAAAGAGGAAACGTTATGGATCAAGTAATTGCTCTAGGGCACGGCTGTACAAGCAAATGGTTATGTTTATAAAGACAGCTTTTATTTGACTTGTGGGTTGACAGCTACATGAACACAAATTGGGTATTGAAACCTGCCATCATTACGGTTGAGATGTTATTTACAGAGTGCATCCACACGCTTGTTTAGCAACCAAACACAGCCAGGGTCAGAGTAAAGCACAGCACAAGCAGAGCCAGAAGCACCTTTACCTAAACGGCAACAGAGAACAGCAGCAGCTGTGCCTCTGAGCTATGCTTTACGACCTCCTACCTTATGACATAATTAATACGCAGCCTCATAGCAGTTATTTCAGAGGAAAAGTCACTAAAAGTATTAGCAAATGAGATCATTTCTGCTTGTGGTTAGCCCTGCTTTGTTTTATGCAAGCTCCCCGACCGTAGGACGCACATCTCTGCACTTCCACAGAGCTGATACCATGCGCTGTGGAGATGTCCAACAGTTCAAATTGTTTGGATTTTGTGAAGAATGGAACTATACCCACGGCTTTATCACTGCATCCACAACTGCTAAACAACTTGTGTCATGATCACAAATTAGTGGCCCCTGTGTAGCGCTCCTCTGGCACCTTGTTGGAGAGCAGGAGGGAATGCCATGAACTATAGGGAATGGGAGAGAAGTGCCACAGAGCATGGAAGAGAAGTGGAAGCATCACGTGTTTCTAGATCCTCTTTCCTCCTGTACTGAGGGGCTGCCATGGGTGGGACCACAAAGGAAAGGCCAGGACATGACAAATGGAAAGCATCAGGCTGGAAAGACCTCTCTTGCCCACATGCCTTTTGTTTGTGGCAGTAGCAGTGTGATGCTGTCACACTGCTGAAACCCTGAATTCCACTCATTCAAATGGCAAAACTGAGCAGGTGGGAATGGAGAACCAACTCCTATGCGCTGTCCACTACGTGCTGTCCAGATGACAAATAAAAGGAGGCTATGAAGTGTCCAAAACATCTTCCAAAAGGGAACAGGGTGACAGTGTAAATAACCTCCTGTGAGTGATTATCACTTTTAAGACAAGTTTCATTTGTTCTGCCTATCGTCCTGCTCTCTCCTCTCCCCAGTTTTGCTGTCCAGCAGCAGACAGGGAAGCAGATCCTTACCATGAATCTCCAGGAGGTGCTTTGTGCCCGCCTTCCTGTGCAGTTCATCGATATTCTGGGTGATGACCACCACGCTCCTGCCTTGCTTTCTCAGCCGCTTTTCACACTCAGCAATGGCGATGTGTGCAGCGTTGGGATGTTTGCTCAGCATGACCTCGCGGCGGTAATGATAGAATTCCCACACGCGAGAAGGGTTGCGTGCAAACGCCCCGGGAGTGGCCAACTCCTGAAAGAGATGCAACGCTTCATTCTGCTGATGGAAGTGAAAGAGAACCCCTTTTTCAGGTGAGGGCCAACAGCACGCTGCCAGTCTGACAACAGGGTAACCAGAAGTAGATTATTACAGCCAGATGCAGCTGACAGGAACACAGCTCAGAAGCCCATCTCTTATGAGGATGACAACTCAAAATAGCTTGTGGAATGAAGAGATAGCTTGTAACCAGTAGAAGTTCAGTGCAGTACAAAGGAAGATGAGATGTTTCAATGCACGCAATTTTTACCATTCAGGACTCCTTTACAGAGCAGCCATAAAACTCAGCAGTGCGTGGATTTTCCCTTCGCTAGCAGTTTCTTATGTGACTTAGTTTAACTGTAATGCTAACCAAATTACAGTCCCTGTCAAAACCAAAGCCTAACGTCACCATCCTCAAGAACAACAAAAACAAAGAGAGCAGACAGGGCTGCGGTGTTTGGGTAAGAGTTACTGATGGTGACCTTGAAATGTGCAGTACCAGAGTCTCAAGGCACCTGCACTACAGTATTTTATTGCTCGCTACTGCACCACTGTACCTCAGAAGTCAGGATTAAAAGAAAACCAGGTTCTATCTTTGCAACAGTCCTTTATTATTTTTGTAACATTTTCCTAAGAGTTTAAACCAGGAAAGGCCTCGGGAGATACAAACACAGCGAGGGTGTCCAAAGAGGAGCGAGCAGTTGGGTGACCAGGCAGCAGAGCGGCACAGCAGACAGAGCTGTCTGCATACACATCAGCTTTCTAAAGGAGCTGATCAACCCAACAACAGAAAACTCTCACACACACATCCCTGGCTGACAGAAGAGCACAGCAGTGCCATGGTACGTACCTGTGCTTGCCACTTTCTCCAAAAACCTCCGGCCCCTCTGAAGGTAGGAACGCCGCTCTCGGCGCTCACACCGGCTCCGGTAATGATGGCGATATGCTTTGCTTTGGCAAACACTTCTCGGAAATCAGCCATGTCTGTTTGTGGGAAGAAAAGATGAGTGAGCACTTTCATGATGAAAGGTGAACTGCTCAAACAGTTGCATTCTTACATAAGATTCCATACAATGCTGAAAGGGCATTTGCATGCGCCCAGAACTGGCTTCCCTGCCTTTCACATACACCCACCATGACTTTAATTTCAGAGTACTTTGTTTTTTTTTTTTCCCCTCCTGTTTCTGTATGTTGGAATTTGAAGGGCAGTTCTTGGAGACTTTCAAAAATAACGTATGAGCAAACCCAGTAGGACAACACATATTCAACTATGGGTATATGCAATATTTTGAATACATGATGCCTTAAACTAAAACTGTAGTTAGATGCTACCACGATAGCAATGCCACCACCATTCAGGAATAGGTTGCTTCCTCCCTGTAAGAATCAAAATGAGATTATAAAGGAACCTCTTTACCTCAGATATTAATTTTAAAGCAACATATTTTAGAATCACAGAATGGCAGAGGTAAGAAGGGACCTCTGGGGAACATCAGGTCTAAGGCTCCTCAAAGCAGGGGAAAACTCAAGGGTGCCCAAGCTTGTGTCCAGGCAGTTTTTGGAGATCTCCAAAGAGGAGATCCCACAGCCCCTGGGCAGCAAGTGCCAGCACCCCATCACTTGCACAGCACAGAATTGCTGCTTGGTGTTGAGGGGAAATCTGCTGTGCTCCAGTTTGTGCTCACTGACTCATCGTGGTGCTGGGCACCTCTGAAAAAAGCCCAGCTGTGATTTATCACTCCAAACCAGAGGCATATATACACTAGTAAGAAACCCTTGAGCCTCCTCTCCTGCAGGCTGCACAGCCCCAAGCCCTCTCAGCCCCTCCCTATACATCAATCACTCCCAGCTCCTTATCACTTCTGTGACCAGACCCACCCCAGCAGGTCCTGTGGTGGGGAGCCTGAAGCTGAACCCAAGTCCCCAGGTGTGCATCACCAGCGCTGGGCAGAGGGAAGGACCACAACCGCCTGCCTCCGCCTGCTGGAAGCGCTCTGCCTGGTGCAGCCCAGGGGGCCGTTGACCCTCTTCAGGAGGGCCCATCCCTGGCTGCTGGTTACCCAGCTGTCCGCCAGAAGAATGCTCAGGGCTTTTCCTGCAGAGCTGCTTTGCGGCAGGTCGGCCCCTGTGTGCCCTGGTGCCAGGGGTTATTTCAAGTTAAGGCACATCTTCAGGCTTAAAATTAAATATACGCATACATGTCTGCTGGACTAAATAAGGGTTCATCTTACTTAATATGCAGCTCCCGAACTACCACAAATGCTTGAGGTCCCCCATAATTCTTGCACAAACAAAGCAGGATGAGCGTTATTGCTCCTCAGAAGCATGAAGAGGAAATGCAGCTAACTAGCTGCGTAAATTATCTGCATAATCTGCATAAATTGTAAGTACTAAAACCACGTCGGCAGGCAACCACAGAGACAGCAGCTACTCTCGGAACCACACGGTGAAGAGGCACAGCAGATAGGTTTTAACAGCTAAGAGACAAGTCAGCGTCACGCTCGCTCTTCCAATCGTTTTGAACAACACTGGGGATTGCGCCCATTCCACGAACTACTCTGAGTTTCCAACCCAGCTTAACCACCGCCCGGCAGACTAAAGCGAACAAACGCGTATCTCACTCGAACTGGGCCGAGCCATTTCCCAGCAGAAGCTGAGTTTCTTGGAAGCAGCTTTGGGGGCACCGTGCACCTGGGCGAGCAGCCTCCGGGCGGCACGCCGAGCGAGACTCATCAGCGGCGCTTCGACGCCTCGTCCTGAGGAGACACACGGGAAACGAGCGGATCGCCGAGCGAACGGAACGCACCGCTCGCAGCTCCCCGACGGAGCTCATTTCTGCCGGGAGCGGCCCCGAGCCGCCGGGCCGGGCTGCAGCCGCCGGAAGGAACCGCGAGCGGAAAGCAGCGCGGCGCTCTCGCCAGCTGGGCCCGGCCCCGCTCCCGGCCCTGCCGCGTACCCACCTGAGGGCAGGCGGTGCGCGGGCCGCTCTTCCGCACCTCCGAGCCCTGCCGTGCGCCGCCGCACGTCCCCGGCCCGCCTTCAGCCCCGCCTCCCCTGCGCGGCTGTTCCTTTGCAGCGGCAGGGGGCGGCGCGGCTCCTGGCTGAACGCCGCTGCGCTGCTCGGCTTCACTGTGTGGCGGAGCAGCCGGCTGCAGCCGCAGGGCCGGCAGGACGGGGCGCTGTCTGAGCGCGGGGCACCTCGTCCGCGAGTGAAGCCCCCGCACTTAGTTTTACTCGGACATAGAATCATAGAATGGCCTGGGTTGAAATGTTCATCCAGTTCCAACCCCCTGCTGTGTGCAGGGTCACCAACCAGCAGACCAGGCTGCCCAGAGCCACATCCAGCCTGGCCTTGAATGCCTGCAGGGATGGGGCATCCACAGCCTCCTTGGGCAACCTGTGCCAGTGCCTCACCACCCTGTGTGTGAAAAACTTCCTCCTGATATCTAACCTAAACCTCCCCTGTCTCAGTTTAAAACCCCTTGTCCTATCACTGTCCAAGCCACGCAACATCCATGCACAAACAGCACTCCGACCGCTCACAGCTCCCGCAGGTTTATGAGGAAAGCTGTTCATAGCTTGTTTTCTGTAGAAAAAGCTCTCTCACTGCTTTCACACGGCCTCACCCTCCTCCCTGCCCTTCCTCAGCAACTTTAAACCCCTTCTTGCTGTTTGAGATTTCACACTTTCCAAGTACTTCAGTTTTTCTTTTCCGTGGGAGTTCTGTAAGAGATGAAGTTTCCTTTTGTAGGGGAGTATTGGAAAGGCTGAGGAGCACCGAGCCCAGGCTCCCTGTGCTTCTGCCTGCAGGAGCACACCAGGTGTGCCAGTTCCACAAGGGCTATGGTTGAATCTTCATAAAGGGTTTTGGGAAAAAAAACAACAGCTAACACACAGAGAACACAAGGCAAGGGCCATTGGACCAATTTAGCACGGTAGCCATCCTGCTAATTTAAGCGAGGTCATTCCAGTAGGTGAGCTCCTGCACTGGCACTGCATGCCAGCAGCTCAGACCAGAAGCAGCCACTCATTAGTCAGCATTACAGTTGGGGCTGGTTTGCTTTTTAGTATCAGTCTCATCGTGGGTCATAGATCCTGCTTCTTGGGCTGTTTCTTTTAAATGCTGGTTAAGACAATATTTAGGAAAGAGGAATGCCAGCTTGCATCTGAACAGTCACCACGGCTCTTTCCACTGGTTAAAAAGCTCAGGACAGCCACTGCTGCTCTGGCACTACCAACAGAAAGCCTACTTCTCACTGTGTGTAGCAGAGTTAGAGGTGCACACCAATGCCTGCAGTTCCACATTACTTCACTGCACTCATGACATACGTTGCTTCCAACACTTACCTGCGACAAGATGTGTTAATATGCTGAGTTTGCAAAACAAAACATGGGGTAGCATGGGTTAAGTCAAATGTTCGTGCCAACAGCTTGGCTTCTGTAGGTTTCTCTGCCATTCATAGACTGTACACTCCAGGAAGCACTCGAGTGTTTCTGAACCAACCATGTGTTCTGTATTCCTAAGGGTAGCTGATGCTAACCTGGTATAAGTTCTGTAAGAAAAGGGCCACATTAACTTCCAAAACTGTTGTCCTCGTCCACTACAAACAACTTATGCAAATGTTCATGCACACACGCATATATTTTCAAAAGCTTTATAAAAAGGTTAAAGTGACATCTAAAATTAACTTCAAGGTACTTGACAGTGTTTTAGGATCATCTGTGCCTGATAAAATACTTCTGTGTAAACAAGTTTTTCCATTATGGTAAATTTTTTTCCAGCAACAATCGTCGTTAATGCACCAAAAGCAACTCCGAGCGGACTCCGAAAGCATGAGAAAGATGTCTTCTGCAAAGCCCTTCATTCCACCAGAATCAACCAACACAAGCACATCGGTATCCTGTTTCAGTGCTGGCAAAAGCCATGTCAAGGGCCAGCACAACGCTCTGCGCCTGCCCCCTTGGCACAGCACCTCCCAGCTGCCTGGATGAGGGTTGTACGTCTTTAGCAGTGCATCTGCCTTCCAGGAACTTGCCCGCTCTCCCCTGTCCACAAGCTCTCGGTGCCCGTGTGGTTCTCTGGCAGGAGTCACCCAGCTCTGCTCCCCTAAGAAGGGAAGGGAGGGCAGCAGATGAGGAAGGTGTATCCACACAGGCTGCGCTCATCTTGTGCCACAGGAATCAGCCAGTGTTCATACAGGTTAACATCATCAGGTGCTCCACTCCCATTGCAGTCCTTCAGCATTCTTACAAAGTATTTTGCATCTGAGCACCATCAGCTAGTAATGGCATTAAGCTTATTATGTGACCATGGAACCTAAATGTATCAAATATAAGCAAAACGATGTCTTTAAAATCCCAAGTCAACAGTCTGTATTCTAACACACAATAGGTCTGTACCAATTAAATACAGGATTGGCAGTACATAAATTACAGTTCTTTACAGCAAATAGTAACACACTAGAGTCCGCTTACTGTACACAACAATCAGAGAAAGAACAGCAGCTTGTCAGTAAGGTCCCAGGTATCGCAGTCACCCACTTGCTCAGAACAACGAACAGGTACAGCAGGCCACTCACGTCATTCATTTTTCACCATGTTACTTTACAAACATCCAAACACTTGTACAGGCATCTACAGTATCTACACGTGGAACAACCTTCGTAGGAATTCATGAGCACCAGACACAAATCCCTCCATCATTCCCCTTATTAACATAAACTTTACAGATTAAAATTACTTTCGCAGGTTCTATTTCATCTTGATAATAACCAAGCAAGTAACAAGTGCAAAGTCTGCAGTCACAATCCATCTACTGTGTCTTGTTTCCCCACTTCCCCCCCACGCCCCAACCCCCCCCCAGACAAACCCCAAAGCGTTGTCCTATCACATCCTTGCAGTAATACTGTTTCTGCAGTCAAACTGCCTGGCTGGTTTATGGTAACACACAAAATACCAGACTAACAGCTTCGGGCATTGTCAGTCACCTCAGTACAATGCCAGTTCATCAGCACAGTGGCAGGCCTCTAGGAAGACAAGAAATATGAAGCAGTTGGATATTTCAGTGTGCTTAAACACAGAACATAAGGCTGCTTGGTGCCCTGTGACTGAAAGGAAAATGGCACCACGTTATCAGTTAAAACATTTACAATAGAAAGATAAAAACAGCAAAACGTGTCAGTCTGAAACGAGTTCTTTGGTAATGAAAAACAGCAAACCGTAGTCTTTTTCCAAACATGGATTTACAGCCTGCTTGTCCACAATAAAATATTTCTACTTGTTTAAAATATATCTCCCACGTTGGTGCATAACAAATAGTCCAGTACCTCAATTATCTACACATCAGCTTTAACTGTATTTTAGTGTGCAGCCGTATCTGCCCACTGGCAGACAAACTATAGATACACATTCATATATATATAATATATATTATTTATAAAAAAAATTAGAGAAGTCAAGGACCCTAGGGAATACGCATTCTGTACGGACAGATTTAAATGTACAATACCTTCCAAAGTTTTCCACACAGTGATATGTGTAGTAAGTGCAAAAAATACCGCAGTTCAGTTAATCCACGATTTCCTGTTCTCTTGTTTCCTAGAAAAAGCAGAGGCCGCCGCATCTCCTGAATGACAGAGGCCTTCTCCTGCTTTAGGAGTGGATGGAGAGCCCTGAAGTACAGAACTCCTCCGCTTCTCTGAAGTGGAAGATGCCTGAGACCGCCAAGTGCTGCTGCATTTCCTCGTGGACGCTGGTGCTTTACTGAGGCGCCCGGGGCGCACAAACACCCCGTGCCGTGGTTTGCAGTGGAAGTACTCTCTGCCTTTGACAGTCCCGTCGTGTTTCCCTTCAATGAAAATAAAGGCACAGAATTAATTGTTGGGATGTTCACACGTTCATTAGACGTAAAATATTAATCTAATAACAAACAGTTTAAAAAGCCACACGTCTGCTCTTTTTCAAAACAAATAACTCTCAATTACTTATGAAGTTTAGTACTTACCTGTCAAAGAAACTTGTAGTATAAGCATTAGTATCTATTAAACTGCTAAAAAAGCCATCTTTTCAAAACACCTGAAGCCATTCTCTGTAAGAATCCCTTAGCATTTACAGAACACAGGCTCTTTTTCAGACCTCGCCAAACAGAAGTCAAAGAAAACCTGTGCACTGTAATTAAGTCTTTACCTAGTAGAAAAATAAGTCTCTCTGAAAGCTACAGGCAGCAAACTCATCTGACAAGCAAAGTCCATGGCTAGCACTGCCTATGAACCTGGAAGTTGAAATATATCTGCTGATTTTAGGCTTTACTTATTTTTTTTCTTTTGTACCTATAAACAGATGGGTACCAATGGGAACTACTAGGACATGCAAAGCATTATTTTGCATTAAGTAGAAGAACAGGGCTTTGAGACAGCTAACGATCTTTATCAAAGCATCTCTATAAACAGAAAGCCTGGAATGCTGCGTTTCAGATGTCAAGTGATTACGAAATTGCAAGTTTTTCCCCAAGGGTGAACAGAGAGTATGGTTATAATGCAACTTTAAACAGATCATAGTAACAGCACAGATAATCCAGAGCATAGTCAGCCTTACCTAACTGAACGTTTAGTTCAACTCCAACCCAGATGCCAGCTGAAAAATCCACCGTTCCAACATATCTCACTGTGCCCACCTTATTGCTTCCAACACAGACTTGCTCACCCACTGCCACCCAGCTAGGCAAGACATGGGTTTGATCTGCAGAAGCACCGTCTTCACAGTCAGACCCATCCAAGTGGTCCTTCCCAGTAAAATCATCTATGGAAATATCAGGATAAGTCTCACAGTCTGAAGTCTCTTTCACTACCAAAGGCCTTCCCGCAGCATTTGCAAGCTGACTGCCTGCTGTGGCAGAGCCCAGCTGGGTCTCACACGTGTCCTGCTCCTTGCCAGTTCCTGGGGAGAACTCCGAGGTGCTCAGTCCATTGGAGGACGCAACAGAACAGGGCTGTGGAGATGCTGAGTGGTCAAAGTCTTTTCCATCTTCGACACCCATGAACTCCGTAAATGAGTGATCTTCAACAATCTCCA